GTTATAAATATATATATATTATATAAATATATTAAAAGGTAAAACGTTTCAGATGTCTATTATTTGTATAACTACTTGAGCATAAAGAAGTGAGAAATATGAATGTATTCTTGTTTCTGGGTTGTCTTGTTTTTTGAAGAGAAGAATTTTTTGTTTTTCTCTAGGGAGAGGTATAGTGTTTATATTTTGGAGCCTTCTTCAAGGTGGGATATTGTACATATTTTTATCTTGAGTAAATGTTAAGTAGTTGTTTAAAAATACTTAATAAAATAATTCTTTTCCTGTGGAAGATAAGGGTTTGCTTCCTGTGCTTGTAAATGTTTGAGCAGGGTCACTTCGTAGGGTCCGGCCCGGCAGACGGAGGCGAGCAGACGGGCGCAGGGAGGAGCGGGGCTCTCCTCGCTCCCTTGACAGCTCCTGTGCCGCCAGTGCCTGAAGGCAGCTCAGGGTCCCATTACCCGTGTCCCCAGGGATATTTATTTATTTTAACTCCCTTGGCACCTTCGGGGATTTTTCTCCTTCCCAATCCAAGTAAGGTGCCAGGAGAGCCTGGCTGGCTTTCCTGCTTGCTTCTTATTTCACTTTGTGCTCTCTGGGCCTGGCTTTTTGGCTCATCCGCCCCAAGCTCAGCAGGGAGGAGGAGGAGGAGGCAGCCCCTGGCCATAGAGGATGCATCTTCTCCGCAAGCTTTGCCCGTTACCTGGAGGCAAAATGGGCTTTTTACAAACAGGGGCTTTGCTTTGCCAGTGTTCTTCAGCCCTGCGTCACAGCCTCACAAAGCTGCTGCCTCCCCTCGAGGTCCGAGGGGCGTGCGAGGCGTGGGGTGGCTCCTCGCACAACGGCTGTCCTGGCTGGCGGGGGGCCAGGGACGCCCTCCTCCGCCCACGCCGCCTCTGCCAGGGAAAGCCCTGGTTGCCTCCATGGCGGCCGGTTCGGCTGGGAGGGATAGCCACCGTGCTGCTGCTGAGCGCTCGGGCAGGGCCAGATCCTGCCTCTGTCAGGAGCAAACCTGTGCCACCCCCCTACGTGCCCGGGCACGCTGCTGCGCTTCTCCCATGTGCTTCTGTGACTGTTTTGCTGGTTTGGGACTTCTAACCGGTGCTGCAGGTGGTGGTGAGCAGCCTGGAGCCTCTTCACTCACGCTGCTGCAGAATGGGCTTGGGGGATACCACGCGCATCTGAACGCGGGCTCCTTCCCTGCCTCTCCAGCAACAACACACAGTTTCTGGCCTCCGTGCGAAATGGAGGGGACCCCAAACCTCTCCCCACAGGCAAAAGATGGGTGAAGGGCAGCTCTGGCCTGTGAGGGATGGGGGAGGACTCGGTTTCCTGGCGGCACTGCCTACGCGTGGACAGGGCATGGGCACGTCTGCGGGACAGTTCAGATTTTTCACAATGCAGATGAATCACAAAATGTGGTGAGAGGTTAAATGCCCGACTGGGACAGCGGTGCTCAGTCCTGGGCTGCAGCACCTCTGGGACCCCGCTGGAGGAGGAGCAAGTGCCTGGGGGCTGCTGTTAGACTTAGCTCAGCGTTAGCGTTAGCTTAAAGTAACGTTAGCTTAAGTAAAGCTACACAAAAATACAGGGCTGCTTGTATTAATTTATTTGGGGCCTCTGTACCTCCTGATGTTTTTGTTGTGTTTGTTTTAATTAGGACTAAATATTGATCTCACTGAAGATGACTGTAAGTAACCCCATTTTGGGGACAGCGCTTGGTGCTCAGCGCAGCAGCGTTTACAGCCTCATTAACGGCTGGATTTCTGGCTCGTTTCCACGGCTCTCACTCCTCTGCGGTCTCCATCTTCTGACCCACCTTGTCGTATGGTGGGAGGACTCACAGAAGCTCCAGATCCTCAGTCACGGAGGAAAAAAAAAATGTAAAAAAAAGTGGAAGAGAAGGTTTATACAGGAAGCGAAGGCTAATTACAGGCTGGGGATTTTCTCTGCTGCCCTGGCCCGGTGCCAGTGGGACAGGTGAGTTCTCTGGGGCAGAGCACGGTCCGGTGGCCCTTGGCCATCCCCGGCCGGCAGCGCGGGGCAGGGGCTGCGCCCGCGGGATGCGCTGCCTGCGGACCCTCGCCCCCAGGGCTGCCCGCGCCTCGAGCAGCCCCCTGCCCTGCCTCTGCCTGCTGCGAGAATGCCCCACCGCCATCGCACCGCAGCATGGCCTGCCTGGCAGAGCTGGCACGCTCCATCCCGGTGCAAAGAGGAGAGGGGGCAACGCAGGTGGCCGAGGGAGGAAGGTGATGGAGGGGCCGACCCCGGGCGTGACGCCAGGTCGTGGCAGCCCGTGCCGCGCCGCGCCACGCCGGCGGGGTGTGCTGAGTTCCCTGGACTTGTTTTCATGGTCTCACCCAGCTCTGACCTGCCTCAAATGTTGACACAATGTCACGTTTCCGACTGCAGTCTTTCATGTGCAGCCGGAGGCTAAATACGGCTGCTGGTTCCTGGAAAAAGACGTGCCTGGCACCCTTTCAGCAGAAACCCGATCTCCATGCAGGCTTGGCACAACAGCTGAATAACATGGCAATAACTCTTTCAGCAGCATTTCAACCCATAAATAGGGCTTCCCGAGTGACTCCTTGAAGTAAGGCAAGGAGGATACAATGATTTTTAGAAAAAGCAAAAAATAAAGCCAGCATGCGTGAAAAGTAACTTCATGGAGGTAGCCCGGTTCGGAGCAGATCAAAGGAGATCGTGGAGATGCTGAGTATGGCTTGGTTAATACGAGAGCAAGATTGCCTCAAAAGGAAAGAAATGCTCTTGAATTTTTTAATGTCTCAGTCCCGTTTTACACCAGCTCTGTGGAGGTAGGATAAGAGCCTTGTGAGAGCGAGGGCCCTTCCTAACCCCCGGGTGAGGACACAGAGACACATCATTTTAGCTTTTCACCACCTGTTTGGAAAGCTCCTATAACTGAGTGCTACGGGACTGGATGGTTTTTACAGGCATGTACCCCGGGAGCTGCTTATTTGCATTATGCATGGACCAGGGCCTAAAATAATCTGCAGTGACGCACATTTTTTGCTGTGATTTTTTTTCCCTTTTTTTTTTTCCTTTTCCAGGACTCCATTTTTCTGAACGTGCCGTGACTTTTGAGGACCGCGCATGGTTAACCAGCCCCAGGGCTCCCTGAATCAGTCCTGAATCAGCACGTCCCTGAATCAGCACGTCCGCCTGCAGACACCGAGTCGAGGGGGAGCGCTCCCCCTGGCCGTGACATGGCCACGGCGGGGAGAAGTGCCCTTCTGCTCTGCCCTGGCTTTCATCTGCAAAGCATGTAGCTGCAAGTGCCGCGTGTTTACAAATGCAGGCATTGCAAGATCCCTTGAACTGTGTCCTAGTACAAAAGAGGCTTTGAAACAAGAAACACGTTGTCATGGCATGTTCCAGGCCAGCAGCACCAGACTGAACCAGATAATTGCTGTTTCTGCTTTAGCTGCTTCATCGTGGAAAAAGCAGCAGGTATTGAGCAAGTCTTTTTTCCCTTTAGACATTTGGTATGATGCTCGGGATGGAAGGAGAGGGTCGGGAATGCCTGGGCAGGTGGGGGCAGAGGCGGGATGAGCCCAGCCGGTGCTGAGTACCGCTCCTGAACTCCACAGGGCTGGAGGCGAAATTACTCTGCTGGGTTCAGGTCGCGTAACCGTAGCCAGCAGAGCCAGTGATACTGCCCCT